TCTCTAAAGCACCTTGATTGGCACAAGGCGACTAAGTTTTTATTCAAAAAATTACGGACAATCTCGGAGTTTACTCATATCGAAAAGAACTACATGATGGATAGACATATGGGCAATTGCCGATTAACCTTCTATGATTTAAGTTAAGTTAGAGTTCGATTTAGATTAAGGTTAGGGTTAGGGTAAGATTGAGACCCAGCTTTTTCTATTCCGGTCATGTGATATAAGAGTCGTTAGCTAAGCTAGTTTTCACCGGAACCGAAGGAGGATTTTTATTAGTCGGCCTCAAAATGAACATCATAATGATATCAAACGATTGCGAAGCACTAGGAGTGCGATCTCGTTTCCCGATGAGATCGATCTACCAGTCTCCTCAGTTGGCATTGACACTAAAGCCACCATAATAAATGTCATCGGCAAAGCCAAATTCATTTAGCACTTCAATGCATATATCTAATGCTCACTTTCCTGATATTTTGATGTAAGGCATGAAGTAACTGTTTTGAATTCGATAATAGGCGATGGAGCTTATACACAATCTTGAGACGCTTCAGTGCTCAGGCTATTGCCTGCTTAGCAATCATGGAAGTTTTGGATATGAATATAATCATGATAGAATATTCCATATTTTCTTAGGATATTTCTTATTTTACTAAGTTCTGGACTTCTTTGATAGATGGTGACTTAGTTTTGTAGACGTCTCTTCTAGAATCTGCCCGTGTATGCTTACAAGATCTATGGTGGGTCGGCCGGTTCAGAGACAGAACCGAACTTTAAGCTGAATAGATTCCAAGTGTCATTTGATTCTTTTGCTCACCATGAATATTGAAGTCATTTGGCAGTCGCTAAACACATGCTAAGCAGTTGCAAGTCAGTCTTTCCCGTCTTTCCGATCCCATATAAAAATGTATTCACTCTTTTGAGTTCATGTTGGAGTACCTATGATTTCGTTTGAAGAGGCGAGTGGAAAGGAATCGTAAGTTTGCTTCATCAGAAGCTGTAGGAGGATGGCCTTCGAGCTATGACTGTAGATTTGTACGATTAGGTCATCGGCTCTCCGCCCTGCTACCTTGATGAATCCTTTGCCGAGCTTTTATTCGTCACGTGACGGATATCGTCAAAGTAGGACACCATCTACAATCATAGCTCCAAGCCAATCCCGCTACAGCTTCCGGTTAGGCCAACTTACGAATCCCTTCCACTCGTCTCTTTAAACGAACTGGAAGATACTCCAACGTCACTTTATTAAGGGATTCTTGGGGAGCCAGTTTTTTGAAATATGTTAGTTGAATATTCCAGCAACGTTTTAGTTGATTTTCACACAGCCTTACTTCGAAAATGAATTTTCATCCAGGATGGACTGGAGTCTTATCAGAAGCCCCAGCCGGATTCGAAGCCTGCAAATGCGCCATATAGTCTACTCACTTTATACATTAAGCCACACTGCCACGAGTTCATTTGGGTCCAATGACAAGCGTGAATTTCAAGGAAGGCCAGGCCTTTCCATATAACTTTTTGGGGGGGCATTTTCGATTATGCAAAGTTTTATTTGTTATATCAATTGAATAGATTACTTATTTTTGTTTCGATCTAAGCAAGGTCGAAACTGCAGTCCAGTCCGGATGAGAATACCTTTTAGGAAATGAGGCTTTCTGAAATTCAATAGAAATATTATGCCTACTCATTATATTGTGGGAAAATTCATCTATTAGTCTTTAAACAACCATGTGCGATTTTAGATAAATATGTTTTTTATTTCTCATTAGGGTTACAAAATTGGCTCATAGCAAGTAGGTAAAGTAAAGTATGTTCTTTATCAAAACAGAACAGAGCTTAGTTTGGGTTTATCGGAATTTCAAGACGTTGAATCGAGTACCATCCATCAGTCTTCACTCCAAGACAATCTGCATTCGGTTTGCAATGAGTCCGATTCGCAAACTTCTTCCAATCAACTTTTCCTCCGAGTCGTCACACTAGATAGGATTGCAACGAGCCACCAATCTAAGCTTCTTGTTTTTCACGAGGTTTAAAGGATTCTTTATGGTTTGGACATGAAAGAGCAAAGCCTTCCATGGATTCATCGACTTCGTAGAACGGCAAGCCAAGGACTTCCTTGCTCTAATCAACAGTCAGCTGCACGGCAATCCTTCGTTTTTGATCAGGCCACAGTTATAGTGATATAAAAGCACTGAGAGATCCTACGAAGCTCATTTTCTCTTCGCACTATATATCAATAACTGGGCTAAGGATCTGGGTTCTTTTTTTTGTCAAGACGTATTTGTTTTTTTGTAGGTGGCGGATGCACTCTACTCGCCTGACTGGATAGATCGTGGCTGGGCTGTGATGCAAGCCTCTCAGCTGACCATCCAGCATGTTTTGCTGACTCGGCACCAACATCACCAACAACCTCACGCAAAACCACCACATTCAAAGGAACAGGAAGGACTGCCCCCATTGACGTCACCAACTAACCTCTGCCTGACGGCGTCATCCGACCACACGACTCTTCATGAAGCCTCTCGCAACAACAGAGACGCAGCGCTAGGTTTCGGTGTCGAGGTCGACACGAAACAGTCCGGATGCAGTACGTCCACACTTAACACTCCAGGGCACCTATCAGTGCTTGAGCCGGTGGTTGATGTTGCCGTCTTTGAGGGTGGCTCAGCTGACAGGCCAGACGCGGTTCACGAGGGCGGCATAGACTGTGTTCGGGTCGCCTTTCGCATGATACAGCGGATGCTGGAAGACCCCGCCGACGAGGTGTACATAGCCGCACTGGTGAGTAGAATGAATATATATTTTCCTTTTTTCCATACAAAATTTTCAATCTCCGCAGGCCTTCAATATCTTGTATACTTACTAACAATGTTTCGAACTTTTAAATGGGCCTTCAATGAGAACGCGAGGCATTTTTGGTCACTAAAGGGTGATGCAGAATTTATAGCTTAAAGCTGGCCAGCTGAGATCCTAGTTACTTCTTATATCTCACTTTCCGGTCTTAATAAGACATTATATGATTTGATTGGCTGATTTATGCTTGTCCTAAATGCATGTAAGCTGGTCACAATAATACAGGAAGGGGGGCTGATGTGGTCACAAATTTTTTTATGTAAATAAACTAGTGTGTGATCCTGTAGTCCTTTTTCTTGTTAGAGCATCGTGGATGCGTGTTCGTCTGGGTATGCAACATTCACTAGTTGTAACTTTAGGTCCAAAACAGACCCCAGCTTATGAATAAAAACTGGGTTTCGAAGAATTCATTAATTAAATATTGTAGCATGACTCTCCATTTAGAAGGGAAAGTTGGATGGAAGGAATTCGTGATGTGTTCTCACCGCAAACTGAAGGAGGATTGTCCCGTAAGGGAGATTTGAATTGTGCGAAGAAGTGTTCGGCTCACCGTCCTGCGACCCCGATTAAACTGTGCCAAGCTGTCTGTACTGTGACAGACATCATCCGAGCAAGATTCCATACTTTACGAAATAGAGCAAACATATACTAAATATTTAAACAATTCACAGTCTTTCCTTACACGACAATCCTCCTTCCGTTTCCGGTGAGACCACATCACGAATTCCTTTCAGCCAACCTTCACTTCGAAATGGAGAATCATGCCTCGATATTTAATTAAGGAATTCTTCGAAACCCAGTTTTTCTTCAAATCCTCCTTCGGTTTCCTGTGATACCACATCACGAATTCCTTCCAACCAACTTTACCTTCGAAATGTAGAATCATGCCACAAGACAACAGCTTAGTCAAGTCTCCTCCTCCTGCTCAGTGGCTCTTCGTGTTTCCTTTCCTTCTCTCTCTCTCTATCTCTCTCTTAATTTTGCTTTTCCAAACAGTAAGAGTTTCACTGAAGAGATTTTAATAGAGTTTATTAATTTTACTGACCGATTTACAGAAGAAACTGGAAGTGAGATTGAAATACAGCTTGTTCCTATAATTGATAACCATGTAGAAGCACCAAACAAGAAAGGCTGGATTAATAATATCATTAAGAATTTGCAACTAATCGAACAAATAGTTTTGAGGGCAGACAAGGGAGGAACAGCTGTAGTTATAACTAGAGCAGATTATATAGAAAAGATGATGATTTGGCTACGGTATAGAATTATAACTAAGGACCCTACAGAAACACCAAAGTTGAGACTTAATAGTTGCCTGCAACAATGCGTTAATAGTGGAGAGTTGGCGAAGTCTTCAACGCTAGACCTAATGCATATGGTCTGCCCAAAATTCATAAAGAAGGGGTCCCATCATGAACTATAAGGGTATTGATATGCATAAAATGTCACGATTCCTTTGTGGTCAATTAAAGCAAATCTTAGGTTTTTGGAAATTTTAAATAAAGAATTCTTATGACTTTATAAAGTTAATAGATAAGCAAATAATAGAACAATAAGATTTGCTTATAATTTTTGATGTAGTATCGATGTACACGAATGTACCCATAAGTGAGGCCATACAGACATTAGGATTAACCTTAGATCTACACCCAGAGATAATATCAGGAAATAGGAGGAGCAAGGAGTCAATCATGCGATTGACGAACTTAATAATGAATAGTACCTATTTTATCTTTAA